AAAGTTTCGAGCCCATAAGGACGCCATGCTTTAATGCCATGCGACAGGAGAGCGCGGGTATATCGCGTCGCATCGGCGGCAGCGGCGGCGGGAAAAGGGCAACAACAATGAAGAGGAGAAGAGTGGCAAAGAGCGACGACGATGGCTTGCGATACGGGAGGGGCGGGGGCGCAAAACAGTGTGTTGGTGCCGACGGTGGCCAGCATGCTCTGTGACGGTGGTGGTGGTGCTGGTGGTGGTGGTGGTGGTGGTGATGGTGGTGGTAGTGGTGGTGGTGGTGGTGGTGGTAGTGGTGGTGAAATTTATACCGGATGCCAGCCACCTAATAACGTTATTGCGTTGTATAAACTGCGAGAGCGCGGCGAGAGCACGCTGGAGCACATTAAAGCCGCCGTCGGCACCATAGAAGCGCGCGAGTATAAATAATACACCCGCGGTCATTTCCGATGCCGTATTTAGTTTATTAGCACGACCTGGAATTTTTCGTGCCGCGCCGCGCCGCGCCGCGAGCACTAACCCACCGAATTACAGGATACAGTTTAATGCGAATCGAGCCGGCCACACCTCCGTCGGTCTGCCTTCCCCCCCCCCCCTCGTCATCGCCCACTACCCAAATGTGCATGCGGAAGTCGGCGGCTTTACGACGTGTCAAAAATTGCCGCGACCCTATGGCAAAACCGTTCTCGACAAACTCTTCCGGCGCCGATTACGTAAAATCGTATCGATTGGTGAATATTTGAGAGAAATGATCGATTTCTTCAGCAATGCGATTTTAATTGCAATTAAATAATTCAGAAATTAAAAAAGATAAGTTGAAGAAGGAATGAGACGATAATTTAAAGAACTATATTACTGATGCTGCGTTCCAAAGAAACGTTGAGATTACGAGTTGAAATAAATCAATGTCGAGTGGTATCCTAACCTGGCTCAAACGACGAGCACGGAGCCTCCATTGGTTGACTTAAGAAAACTAGCAACCCTTCGCGAACGTTTCGAGTGGCTCGTCTCGATCTGGTCTGTTTACACAAGATCGCGTACACCAGATGCAACGTCGTTAGGAAACGTTCCTGAAATTACGTGGTGTTTGTTTAACTCGTTACTGTCTAGTATTGCACTTTACCATGATGAAACCGATTCTTGTTGAAATTATTTAGGAAGCAAGAGAAAATTAAGAAAAAACAATATCGTCGCATCGATACATCGTTAATTGATTAATATATAATGAAGCTAAAGGATCAAGAAAACGCCTGCAAAAAGCTATCACAAATCTATCATCTTTGTAATTACAAATGTAAAGTTTTTGATTACGTAAGTAAGCTTAATTTACAGACGAGAGATAGAACTCGTGCTATTCCTCTGAGTGCGACGTATATCTACCGCAGTGTAAACCTGTCTCCCCTCATAAAAACTTGTCAACGAGTCTAAACAGATGTAAGACGGCTCGATATCCCGAGGAAACTTCCGTTGTAGTTACGCTACGGAAAAATCCTTGACATACGGGAACATCTGTATAGTGAACGAGGACGTGAAGTGTGTATAGCGCATAGGGTGGCCACCCTACGGGGAGAGTCATCCAGAATCTTCGATTTCCCAGACTGGCGCCAACGCGCCTCGCGTCTGTTTGTGCCCGCGTGGAGTGCTTGACGCGGCTTTTCCTGCCTAAATCCGTTCAGGAGTGCCTGACCTGCGGACTCCGGCTCCCGTTCGACCCTTCGAAGATATCCCAGCCGAGACGAGTGCACTCAAAGGGGGCACTCGATCCATCGACGCCGTCGATCCTACCGTTCGACTTGCAAGTCAGAAAGACTGCCTCCCATCGTGTTTTCTTTCGAAGAAGTGGCTCCGGGTATACGAAGATTTATTTACTCGAACGATACCTCCTGCTGGCTTTACGATCGACTCGCATGACACGTCTCTCGCGCTGCTCTGATCGCTCGAGTGCTACCATCTGACATTTATAACATCGTGTCGCGTCGTCTTTGTATAAAGTTCTGTTCTGCGCGATTAGACGAATGGTCGACTGGGTTGAATGGTTCTCGAGATTGACTTGACTTTTAAAATAAATAAAAATTCTATAATAAGCTACTAGTCCTGATGATTAATCAAATTCATATAATCAATCATAATTTTTTTCAATATGTATCGTGTATTTGATTACAAGTAAAATATATTTGTCATTCAAAAAATTCTTTAAAATATTTACTACAATTTCATCAAAGTATCTTATTACTGTACACCTTTGAAAGGAAGTTATCAATTTATTTCGGACATTTACCAGAAGGAACGCACGCCGGAGCACCACTCGGAGAGTCCGCAATATACGCGGACAATGCGGTGACTCGACCGAAGAGTACAATAGCAGTCAATAATGCGTGTGATTTGTGCAATAAGCGCCTATTGCACGCGCAGCCGGCGCCGCGCAATTCGATGCTGCGAAATCGTTCCGCCTCGGAACATCGCCGACGCACATGTGTGCTTGGCTACGCGATATCCGGTGCAGCGTGCACACCGCCGTTATGTTACGTGTATTTGCGCTTGTCATTGCGTCACGCGGCCAGATACGTTTCGAAGGCACATTTACCATTTTCGTTCACGCCGCTTAACGATACACTGATTACAGTCTCGGATGATATCGTAAACATAGCTTGTAAAGAGATTCGATAGCAAGAATGATATAGTGATAAAACACGTGATAAACTGCTACTGTAGTTGTCTCGTTACGTATTTCAGACGTTAAAGTAAGCTGTCTTGAATTAAAATAAATTAACATATTAATAAGTTTTCCGTTTTATAGGTCGCGCAGATTAAAGATCATTTTCTCAAATGTGAATACTAAAAATAGAAATATAGTAAGGTATTTATAATTGCAGTTGTAAATTTAACGCGTACTGAGTTGTTGCATTATTCGTTTTGCACTTACTTACGCTTTGATGTGTGTCTAAAATAGACGATGCTTTCAAATACTAGGAACATAAAAAAGCCGAGCGGAATGTTACGACAGATATACCAAATACATTATCCCATACATCTCCGGAACGACTCCCAATCGACGTTATAACGCCGATAATAAAATCCCTGCCGTACGAACGCGTCCGCGTCCGAAATTCCACCCTCAAAAAAAAATCGCGCCGGCGTACGCGCGCGCCGAGGATCGATCGCGAAGATCGATGGCGATCGCGATGCGGACGGCGGCGATCCGATGGCGTTAGATAGGCGCTTCGAAACGAAGGATCAGTCGTCCGTGCGGGATAGCGGGTAACGCGCGCGGGACAGGAAGAGGGGGATGATGATGATGCAGTCGATGGGTGGACGATGCTCACGCACGCGGCGCATCCGGGGATCGTCACACCATCGATGCGAACGGCGCTCTCGCGTGTGTGCGCGGGGCCGGCAGATAGGAGCTAGCGGTTGTGTCGCGCCGATACACTGTGTGCCATCGATGCACTGCTCGTGCTCGATGCACCACGCCGCGCCGGTTCGACCGCGCGGTAGGCGAGATAGCGACGCAGGGATAGGATACATATAATTACCGGGAGAGGGTGGAGGGGTGGAGGGGGGGAGAGATCGTGCTCCATTTCACACATCGCACACCGTGTGATCGTGTCACACGGCCGACGCCTCGCCGCTGTGTGCAAGCGATCCACACTACGCGCATCGTGCGCATTCTGCCTCTCCGTACATATCGGGTGGGTCGATTCGGATTTCACGCTACACCACGATCGAATGGCCGTGCATCGCGGTTCCTTTCCCATCGAAGATCGAAGGGATGAGGATGATTATTGTCGCGACGTGACGCGTCCGCTGCACGTATATATTTCGCGAATTTTTCGCACCGTGCGCCGCATGCGAGGCGCGTTTAATTATTCATCGCGATGCGTATTTAATTTTCGAACATAAAATACGAGCGTATTCAAATGTCTATGCATTTATACAAAGGGCGAATGCGATATTTTCCAGGTTTACGATATTAACGTGCAGATTGAAAACTGTTAGTTTGGATAAAAAGCAAGCACTAAACATATAAATAAAAGATTATGATATTAGTAAAATAAGATCTTTGTTTTTTAAATATCTTATCATAAATATCTACATGAAAATTAGAGCAACTCACTATCAGAGTAGTTGAGAGTTAATATAATAAAGAAATATTATTATAAGACATATTTATTATTTAATATCTTGTTATAAATATCTACGTAAAAATCAGAATAACTTACCTCCAAGTAGATAAGAGTTAATAAAATAAAAGAATATTATTGTAAGACATTTTTTATTGTTTTCAATTTCCATTCTTTCGTTAATTGGAAGGCTGCTCACTTGATCGTGAGTTAATTCAGCGGCACTGTATTACGCGAAAGCACGAAGGGGTGGTTTCGACACATTGACAGCAATGCAGTAGAGTGGCAACAAACAGCGGACACCAGATACTCGACGATCCCGCATCCGCCCGCCCACGCACAACTCACACAAGCATCTACCCTCGCGCGCGGCCGTCTCCACGCGTGTATATATCCGCACGAAGCAATTGAACGGCGAATGATTCAATTTGTCAGACCAATGAGTTTGTCAGGTGCCACTCCATGCCGCGCCGTACGGCGCGCGAGAGCTCGAATTGGATTTGATTTAACGTTGCGCGTATTGCCGCGCATTACACACTAGAAATATCGCAAATCTCTCGCACGGCATCCAATTACTTGTTCCCCGAATACAATGCGGAAAAGCCGCGCACTGCTGTTTGCATGCCCGTACGTTCGCGCGTTTGTGTTTGGCTGCGTGTATACGAAACTGAACGCGAGCGCGATTCGAGTTCGGACTCCGCGTTCAACCGCGTGAAACTCCGGATTTCGATATAATGGAAATCGCTGCATCAATTGCGCGCGGATCTACATATTTGAATTTCGGAAAAACGTTTTCCGCCGTGACGAATTTGCTCGTATACTTTTACAGTTCGAACAACGGGGACGATGAAAAACTAACACGCAAAATGGTTTATGTTTCAGATGGCATTTACACGAGTCATTCCGATGGAGCGCTGGGTACTTACGTTACACGAGCTGCAACGAGAAGGTAAGTACAACCGTTTTAAACAGTAATAGTGATTAAGTTACGGCAGTGATGTTGCGAAATACAAGAAAGCTTTTATCGTTTCTTCCATAAATTTTACTTATAATAAAAAATAAAAAATTATGACCTTTAAGGTTTAATTATAATATTAGAGTTATTTTTGGAGAACATTCTACAATTATTTTTGAAAATAAAATTTTTTGCCGAGAGCCAAATATTAATACTAAAATATAACACGACATTAGTTAAAACCGCGGATGGCAGAAGAGCCTAATAACATATGCTCTCTTGGACATTTTCTACTTCCCTCTCGTCCGTTTCCTTTTTCTTTTGCCCGCGTAGCGAACGATGTACCATCCGGTTGTCCTGACTTAATTAAATGGTTTAAGTCTCGACGAAAATCCGAGGCCGATATCCGGCGGCGGAGCCGCGGGAAAAAATATTTCAGTCGGATTAAGTACGTAAGCTTTAGAAAAAGGTTACGGAGGAGAGGCTGCCGGCTGCCGTGGGAATAAATTCTAATGTGGCGGCATTATAATTGCGCGGTTTACGTTCGCCGCCGGCCAAGGGCTGCACCGGAGCCAAATTAGCGACGATCATTATTTATGTCTCGCGAGGAAAAGGGGTTAAAATGGCCACTCGTTGCCGCGCCGCGCTTCTATAACGGAGAAGACAAAGGGTAGTTAGCCTTGTCCGAGATGGGGATCCTCGAAAATCCAGGAAATTACTTATCCCGCCGAAACGACTGTCGAATTAAGACCATTTGATAGGGTTGCATTCGCGTGTTGCTTGAATATCTATTTGTGTTCCAAAAAATACAATTATTTTAAGCAGTTTAGAATTTAATTCTTATGACAGTCTTTTCTTTATTTTTCACAAAATTGAGTTACACTCCAGATGATACTGAATTTTTCGTAAAAGAAAATTGATAAAATCAAGATAGGGTGTTCTGGGACACCCTGTACATGTTAGTACACGGCGCTAAATGATTCTACGCGTTATAGTCGAGCCGTTATGCGCTCCCCCTGTAATTTCCCCACGATTAAGTAATTACGCGTGAATTCAAAGTCAGTCGGAAGGTGCGACGGAGCCGCCGTTGGAGTTTATCGCGCCGATAAGACATCGCAGTGCACGGACGGTGCGCACGTCCCTTTTTCTTTTTTCTGTTTTTTTTTTCTTTTATTTCGTTCCTTTTTTTCATCAACGATACGAGGTCCGTAATTTATAGAACACCGTGACAACGCATCGTCTGGACTTTATAACTTTATGGTGCAAGACAAACACAGCCAGAGCGACTGATAAGTAGCTATCTGCCGTGTTAAACATGTTATCCTAACCCGTTACCGACATGTCTACGCCGAAGTGCGATAAGCAACAAGTGTGCAGTTCGCGTCGAGCCGTTTGGGAAAAGATATTGTGTACTCGCTTCTCGTTAATTATCTCTCACCTCTTTCACGCTCCTTTTTTTTCTTCTCTCATTTTCGTTCCCCGTTCGGTCGTCCCGGCGCTAACGCCAGTGCCTACCAATAACGGACGATATTGCACTCATCGAACGAGCTTTCACATCGCCTCTTCGTCGTTTAATTCCACTCTACGGCGAACGATAGAATTTGCGTGAACGAATAAATTACGATGATTGAGTGGAGAATGGGAAAATAGCAGGAAAGAATTGAACGTTTCAATAGAGAGGATATTACAAAAAATAAACGTGCAAATTAGATTAATTAAAACGAGTAGAAGAGATTGAAAAGAAAATTTGCAGTTAGTTATATTTCATTAATGCTTTAATATCCATCTTGATTAGAACGGTAGAAGCTCTTGCGTAACAGCTCTCAGGTACAAGTGAGATTTAACTTAGAGTTACCGTAGAGTAAGCTGAGTAATTTCTAAAAGTCTGCTAGTGTCGTTCTTTTCTTACAGAACGATAAATTTGGGTCCTGACATTTAATTATGCTGCTCGACGCTATAAGAGTGGCTTTTTGGAGCCTCGTTTCCTTTATTTTAATGAAAATAGACTATGATGCAATTGTTGGATTATTAAGATCGAATGAATACTTGACAATTTAGAATATTAAAAAAAAATTATGCAAATTTTTCTATAATATATTTTTTTAAACTAAATGTGAAGATAAATATAATTTTATCATTGCGCAGAAATCATCTTCAGTCTGTAATTCAATATGCATTTATGCAATTTTTAAGTATTATTTTAATAATGCTAATGTCATATTGATTGATAGAATCGTGTGTCAAGCTTATTTTTCTTTTGACTTGCGATGCTGAAAGAAAAAAAAGAAAGAAATTTGGAATGATTTTGTCTATTAAAATTTGAGACGAACGAACCTACGTGCAATTAAGCGTAACGATTCTTCTACGTCTAATAATAAATTTGGCGGTGGTGCGGGTACCGGGCCGCTAATGCGTTAGAGCGTATAGATTGTTGTTAATGGGAGTTATAAGGACGCATTAGCCTGATAAATAGTAATGGGGTTTATTGGCGGAAAATCAGAAAATATGACGATAGCCGTGGTATTCTCCCTTCTTTTGCGTGCACCACGCGGACACGCGTGGTGAGAGACGTTCCTTTTTCTTGGGGTCTGCCATCCGCCACCATAAGCACGGATATATGGACCCCAAGTTTATTATATTTGCCGGCCACAAGGAGGCTCCATCGGCTATATCTATGAAATACTGCTTTAGACGAACCATGAGATCTTTTTTTTTTGCCTTCGCCCTCATTCCGCCAATGTATCATGTCCGATCATTGGCTAACGCGATCAATCTAAGCATTTTTTTTGTGTCATTATTAGCGTAATTTTTACAGAAATTAATTTTACCTATTAATAATTCTATCATAATGATTGTGTTTATTTATTCTAGTCTTTGTTTTACTGTCTGTATCATGTTATCTGTTGTATTATTTATACTGAACTTTCTCTTGTAAAAAAGAAAAAATATTTATATTTGTTAAAAAATGGAAATATAATCAGGAGTTTGTTAAGTTTGAACGGATGTATCTATTGAAAAGTCAATGTTTTTGGACAAATATGCAGGTTGAAACTGACCACATCACAAACTAAATAACGTTATAGGTCGTGGTATTTATCTATACAAACGCGGTCAATTGGTTCTTGGTTTTTAACAAACGACACTCTTGATGGCTGGATGTTTACTAGATGTTTGAGGGCTTTAAGAACATAAATTTTTTCTGAAGAACCTTCAAAGCGGGAAACCTTCTAACGCCAACTACTTTTTTCCGTAAAGTTGTACTACGTGTTGTACTTGTGGATTACTGCTTGTAAAGATAAAATTTACTTTTTAAATCATAAGAAGGGAAAAGAGACATCTCTTTTTTTCAATATTAAAATAAACGTATTTCTTATTTCAATTTCGAGTTTTTTTGTTGATATATTATGTATCACACCAGAAAATAATATTATAAGAAGGTTTCCTGATTTTTTAAATAATTTAAGTTTTAAATATTGATATAAAGTATTTATCTTAACAGTTCACAGAGTCTTCAAAGCCAAAAAAATACATATTTCATAGATAAGAATTACACACATAAAGAATATATACGTAACATAAAAGATAAAAATGGATATATACAGAGTATAAGCGATACATTACTTTAGTCACAGGGATTCACGACTTCACAGAACGTCTAGCAGGCTAACACATTTGGGGAAACAATTTCTTTTTTTTCATGGCGAACGTGTCTCGACGAAGGAAAAACACGGCGAAACGAGTAGGAATCGGATGTGACCGCGTTCTCTTCGTATATAGCGTCAGGTTCGTCCTTTCCGGTCTCCCCCTTTATACTCGGGAGCGATATGAGCAGCACGTGTGGCGGTGCGGTTGTCGTACGTGGTGGCTCGTGGTAATGTATACGGGGCAATGCCGAGAGAGGAACGTCGGCGCGCACGGGTGAGAATTACTCTGAAGTTGGCCCCCGAATTATACGATTCACCTGGTCCCTATTTTACGACGTTTATATTACATCGCGTTGCGGCGAATCTTGGCTGTTGGCGCGCTTCTTGCGGCCAACTCGACTTTTCCTCGCCGCCGCGTCTAATCTTATTTCAGCGTGGATGCTCCGACAACGAGGATTCCGAAATTTCTGTTATAAACTTTTGTCGCGTAAAAAGATCACGGCGCATTTCTTGTCGCAATGTCGCGGTTGTTACAGTTGTAATTATTTGACGGAAATTGAATGCTATTGTTGTTTCATAAATTTAACGAAGTATTAAAAGTAACATTTCCAATCATACAAAATGTTTTCGATCAATTATACTACTCGTTAATAGCAGATTTCTGAAGTTATTCGGAGACGAAAATTTTTATACTTAAAATGTCGAGACTATAGATTTCAAATCGAAGTGTTTAAAATTGATCGACCAGATTGTTAAAAATTCACGCACTCAAGCAGGTTACATATTGATTTTTATATTCTTACCATATGAGAAATCTTAGAAATTTATTAACGAGTGATATAATTAGTCAGAGACACTGTGTATATTTTACATTATTTTGAAATCTCTTAATAATATTAAAATAAAAAATATTAGATTGACTTACCGGCACGATGCGCAGCAGCAAAGTTCATCTGTAACATACAAAGCACATAACATTCAAATTATAACAGCGTTTTAAATAATTATTGGAAAAATAATTATTACACACATTAAACTTTAACTTATCTTTTGTATACAAATATCTAAAAGAATTATATATTTATATCTAATAACTATAAATATTAAAACTCTGAAGTTGCTCCGCCAACGCCCGAGCCTTCTCCTTTTCTCAGTTTTTTTTTTGCAATCAAGGCGCTTACATGCGTTTGCAACGCAAATACAAAAATCGTACGATGTTTTACACGACCCTTTCGACGCGTATATGTTATTATTTGGACAAAGTAAAACTCGATTTGATTTGGGAGAATGCAGAAAGTAGGTAACTATGTGCGTGCCGATACATTGCGCGCGAGAGAGAGAGAGAGAGAG